CTTCCCTTCACAAACATTGTTCCCTCCGGAGCAGGGAGAGGAATTAGAAAGACGCTCTGCTCTCCTCTCTTCTTGCCAGGAGGGGAGGGGCTTTCCCTGCTCTTTGTTCCGTTTGAGCAAACACAGCAACGAAACAGAGCAGGGTGGGCAGTAAGACCCTGAGGCAGAATGCAGGAAAGCAACAGCTTCCTCTCTCACGGAGCTCCCTTCTCCCTGAAGCGCGGTTTGATTTTTGCCTCATTTTTCGGCTCCAGGGACCACACATTCGCTGCATAACACGCACAGACATTTCCCCTTCCTTTTTAGGAGAAAAATCTGCGTGTTATAGAGCGAAAATACGGTAATAGTTTGCAGAGTTCCTTTAAATTTTAAGCAGCTGTTATGTATTTGAATATTTTTATCTTTTCTCAATCTGATTAAGAGATGTTTTATTACTGCTGCAGACAAGTTTCCCAAACTACAATGCTATGTAATAGTTGCTAAAATTCACTTGTAATCAAACTATCAAGAGACAGACGCTGAGCTAACTTTACTGCTGTTTAGACTTTTAAGAAGAGAAAAGATATCATTTTAGTGTTGTCTTTTAAGAGAGGCGGTGATGCTTTCATATATTTAAGAGCTAGATCACTGCCTGAAGATGTGTTTAGCCTCAGTAGACTTCTTTTTAAATTGGACAGATAGTTAAGAGGTGTCATCCTTTGGTAGCAGCACTTTGGGGGTGGAACGAGGGCGTGGGACAGCCCCCTTGTGTGAAAATTACTGTTTTAACAGAGATGGGGTTTTAACTTTGGTGGGTGCTGTTTTATCTGGAGGCTGGGGTTGTTTTAAAGTATTGTTAAATGATATCTGTTAATTTGGATTTTTGTATTTGGGAGCTGGAGTATTGTTTAGGAGCACTTGTTGGGGAGTGTATTGTTTATTAGTGTGTATACATTTGTATTGTTAACTGTATTGATTAATTTTTTATGTTTTGATTATTTTTCTTATGTATTTTGTGCTTTGATTATTTTTCTTATCTATTTTGTGCTTTGTATATTGTATACAAATTTAACAAATAATAATAATTACATCACAAAAATATATGCCTATAAATATATATCTTGAACCACAGTTCAAGAAGGACACTGACAAACTGGAACATGTCCAGAGGAGGGCAACCAAAATGGTCAAAGGCCTGCAAACGATGCCTTATGAGGAACGGCTAAGGGAGCTGGGCATGTTTAGCCTGGAGAAGAGGAGGTTAAGGGGTGATATGATAGCCATGTTCAAATATATAAAAGGATGTCACATAGAGGAGGGAGAAAGGTTGTTTTCTGCTGCTCCAGAGAAGCGGACACGGAGCAATGGATTCAAACTACAAGAAAGAAGATTCCACCTAAACATTAGGAAGAACTTCCTGACAGTAAGAGCTGTTCGACAGTGGAATTTGCTGCCAAGGAGTGTGGTGGAGTCTCCGTCTTTGGAGGTCTTTAAGCAGAGGCTTGACAACCATATGTCAGGAGTGCTCTGATGGTGTTTCCTGCTTGGCAGGGGGTTGGACTCGATGGCCCTTGTGGTCTCTTCCAACTCTATGATTCTATGATTCTAAGATGAGGGTTGGCCCAAGACATTTGCCGCTGCAGCCAAAATGCCCCCTCTATCCCCCCCCCGCAAATCTAGGTCCCACCTTGCTTAAATGACAGGCCACACCAGGCTAAGATGTACAATGTCATCACTCTCTGCCTCCATCAGAAGACCAGTGTCTTTGGTTAAAGTAAGTGAGCTATTCCATTTGCCCACTTTCATCCTAAGCTCTGTTTGTGCTGCATGACATCATGGCAGCAGGATGTATTATGGCCTCAGTTAAGATTCTCTGCTGCATCCTGCATGCCTCCTCAAGGCCAACGAGTCCCTTCTCTCCTTGAACAGTGGAGTGGAAAGGCTTGCTTCAACTTGATTTGTATACTAATCAGTAACACCTGAGACTGCAGGTGAGAGCTCACATGCCTGAAAGCTCATTCAAAGAAGAGATTCCTTGTATGTAAAGCAAAACCAGGTACTTCAGAGACAAGTGTTCTGATTTAGCCGTTTTCTATGTGTGTGGGATGGGGAGTATGGAGGAGAACTGAGATTCCAGTTGGGACTCATGTAACTAGAAGTGGTATGGTTCAGGTACAGCTTTACTACCTCATCTGAGAATTTGAGTCAAAAGTATTTCTATCCAAGATGCCCTAACAACTGGTGCTGAGACTGTCTCTCACTCATACAGAGCATGCATTATATACCCATGAGAGAGAAAAGACAATACACACACACACACACACACACACACACTACAGGTGAAAGTTGTTATTTAGATCAGGAATCCCAAACTGAAGAAGGAGCTGAAGAGAAAAAGTTGTAACTGAAGGCTTCCAAAAATGCTCACAACACTTACAAGAACAACTCCGGATGTTAAACTGATGTGGGATTAACATCATTGGGTTAAGATCACACTTTAATATAGTCCCATGATAGATTATATTATTGAAGCTCTTGCAGAAAACAGAGGTTAAATTAATGCGCCTTCAAAACTATAGTTTGCAAGAACAAACCACTAAAGAATTACTGAAGACATGGCCTACCTCTAAGGCTGCAAAATTAGAGAGGGAGGAGACAGCATGGCTGAAACTTCTAAGGATAAGGTAAAGGTAAAGGAACTCCTGACCATTAGGTCCAGTCGTGACCGACTCTGGGGTTGCAGCGCTCATGTCGCTCTATGGGCCGAGGGAGCCGGCGTTTGTCCGCAGACAGCTCGTCCGGGTCATGTGGCCAGCATGACTAAGCCGCTTCTGGTGAACCAGAGCAGCGCACAGAAACACCGTTTACCTTCCCGCCGGAGCGGTTCCTATTTATCTACTTGCACTTTGACGTGCTTTCGAACTGCTAGGTTGGCAGGAGCAGGGACTGAGCAACGGGAGCTCACTCCGTCGCAGGGATTCGAACCGCCGACCTTCTGATCAGCAAGTCCTAGGCTCTGTGGTTTAACCCACAGCACCACCCGCGTCCCCTTCTAAGGATACTTTTCTACAAAATGAGTCTCTTTCTAGCAGTTCCCCATGCTTTTATTTGCCTCTCTGCCATAACTTGAAAATACTTCGTAATAAAATACTTCAATGGACACATCACTAGATCTCCAACTAGGCTCCATGGGCATAAAATATAATCATTAAGCATATTAATGATTATACATTTTTCATTGTTAATGCTACCATAGACCTATTTCTTGGTTTTAAATCTCAACAATCATAATAGTCTTAATAGTGCTATACTGTCACCGACAGTAGCATCCCACTAAAATAAAAAAAGCCAAGTAGAAAGGATTAGTCTTGGTTTGTTTGGCTCACTGGCTTCTCTGTTAGAACCATTCATTTTTCTTACATTTATACCTCGCCTTTCTTATCTCAGACCAGACCAGACCAGACCAGACCCAGGCCTACTTAGCTTCAGCTTCTGACCATCACACACAATCAAGGCTCAATCAGATTTTCAAAATTGTTTGCTGACTTAAGATACCTGTTGTCTAAAAAACTTTAACAGATAAACTGCAGAACAGCAACGGAATTTTCTTAATGAACCAAGTTACATAATTTTTTGACAATACCCTGCTCCCACTTTACCTGGTGCAGTCACTTGAAGTTTGAAAGCAGTGACTGTCTTTTCATTCAAATAAAAATGCCTTAAACAATCTTACATCATGCATTAATATATGAAAATTGTGATAATAAGGCTGCAAAATTGTAGTAGAGATCAAATGAGCTCATTATGACATTCCCATCAAATGGTCTCCATAAGAACAGGGTAATTGTTCACCCACTTCGAAAACTCCTGCAGGATTCAGGAACCTCTTTCAATTTATTTAGAGTTGTCAGACCCACTTTTTTGTTGACTACACATGGCTGCCCTGTCTATTGCACTGCATTTCTTCAAAGGGATCACAAAGACACTAGAGACCACATAAAATGTGGCTTCAAAGTTCTGAACAGGGTGTCCTAC